GTAAAGGTGGCTCGTACTGCGGTTGTCTCTCTTGCCCGTGAGGGCTCAGTGATGGCGAATGTGGGTACGCATTGGAAATGCCCGTGCTGTCCGCATTTTAATCCGATCGGCAAGTTCAAGTGTTCCCAGGCAGGGTGCAGTGGAGTTCGGCCAGGTCCTGGACCAGCACCCCGCCCGTGGCACCAGGCAGGAGGGAAATGGGCTCAGGGTGCGCCGCAGCTTCGGCCCAAGGCTCCTCGTCGGCGCGGTGCTGTCGGCGCTTCCTTGGACGATGCCATCATCAAGTCATATGTTGAGCTCAAGCAAGATATTTGGGATCTGGTCAAGCCTAATCTGTCTCAGTCTAGCCGTGATCGTGTTCAGTATGCGAGGACGGCAGCTGCTGCAGGCTGGTCTCCAGGCATCACCAGGTCCAACAATGTGGAGAAAGCGGCCAAGGCGCTGTTGGCTGGGCAGCAGCGGATGCAGAAGGCGAAAGACGCAGCTGCCAAAGCGATGGTCGCGCTACAGGAGCAGCAGGAGGTCGTCAGCAACTTGGAGCGCGAGCTGGCCATGGCAAAGGAGGAAGCTGCCAAGGCACTGGGCGCGTCCACGGCCCCGCCCAAGATCGACCTGGGGCCCCTGCTGGAGCAGCTCAAAGACTTGCAAGCAGGAGCCTGCCAGGGCACGTCTGTGGCGTCAGTGTTCGCGCTGGTCACCAAAGCAGTCACGGACTTCGTTGCCAAGCAGGCCCAGGGTGCGCCGCCTCCAGCCGCAGCCCCAGCGGGCTCAGGTGCAGGAGGCAGCGGCGGTGGAGGTCCCGCGGCGGGCGACGCCGACCAAGACGCGCCCATGGGCGGGAGTGATTTCGACGCTCAGCTTGCTGGGGGGGGGGGGGGGGGGGGGGGCAGGCTGTCTGCTGGCAGGCGCCGCGTCCGCAGATAAACGCAAGCAATTGGTGGACGCCCTGGGGCTACTGCGTGCAGAGTCCAAGCGGAGGAGGAACAGCTCCTAGCTCCGTCCGACAGCAGCGTCCATGGCGTGGTCTGACCATGAACACCAATGCCTATTCTACGTTCGAGACCTTTCTTGATCGCGACGCCCTTCGGCGGTCAGACTCTGTTGAGCGCGGCTGCGAGGTGGCAACAACACTTTCCAAACTCGGGTGGCGCGCCCGCGCGACTCCGTCTGAAGGGGCGGGGCCAGGTCCCGCAGGACATGGAGGGCTGCTGCTGCTAGCGCCTCGGGTCCACGGCATGGGGCTATTCGAAGGCGTCGGCGGCGATGTGGTGGAGGTCGGGCGTGCGACGTTTATGCACCACTCAGGTTTTTGTCCGGGTGGAGTGACATTGGTCAACATGTACCTACACACTGGGGAGGGCCTGTCATGCGCCAACGAGTCCATCCTGCTCAGGGTGGGCACGCTCCTCCAGGTGCTCGGCAGGCCGTTCATCATCGCAGGGGGCTTCAGCATGGAGCCCGAGATGCTGGAGCAGTCGACGTTCCTGGAACGCTGTGGGGGCCGCGTGGTTGCACCCGCCTCAAGAACTCTTTACGCTTCGCGTATCCCCACCAGCCCATCTCACAGCAGCAACTCTCGCGAAGCATGCCGACAGTCGTGTTTTTCAGGCGTGTGTCCGCTTGGCCCCGCATATCTCCCCTGTTCCTCCTTCCTCCCGCCTCCTTGTACATCCTCCTTGTGGGGGGAGCGGGAGAAGGACGAGGCGGAGGAGGAGGGAGAGAAAGCGCTCCTCGTGGTTTGAGTCGTTTGGGGTTTCTCGTCCTGGTGTGAGTCGTTCGGGCCCTTCTTCCTGGTGTGAGTCGTTCGGGCTCTTCGTGGTGTGAGTCGTTCGGGCTCTTCGTCCTGGTGTGAGTCGTTCGGGCTTCTCGTGGTGTGAGTTGTTCGGGCCCCTCATCCTGGTGTGAGTCGTTCGGGCCCCTCCTCCTGGTGTGACTCGTTCGGGCTCCTCGTGGTGTGAGTCGTTCGGGGCCCGCGTCGTGGTGTGAGTCCTTCGGGCTCCTCGTGGTGTGAGTCGTTCGGGCGCCTCGTCCTGGTGTGAGTCGTTCGGGCCCCTCCTTGTGGTGTGAGTCGTTCGGGCTCTTCGTGGTGTGAGTCGTTCGGGCCCCTCGTCCTGGTGCGAGTCGTTCGGGCTCCTCGTGGGGCCTCTTGGGGGCCTCTTGGGGCCTCGTGGGGCCTCTTGGGGGCCTCTTGGGGGCCTCTTGGGGGTCCCTTGGGGCCTCTTGGGGGCCTCTTGGGGGCCTCTTGGGGGCCTCTTGGGGGCCTCGTGGGGCCTCGTGGGGCCTCTTGGGGCCTCTTGGGGCCATCTTGGGGCCTCTTGCGACCTCCTCAGAAGCGCAAATGAGAGCTGCCCCCTGAGAAAGGCAACATGAGCCCAAAACCTTCGTAAAATCAATGGTTTTGCTATGAGGGAAGATGAGCGCGGCCCCCTCAGAAGGCCAAAATGGGGCCAACACCCTAATAAAATCAATGATTTCTGCTTCAAAGACGAGCAGAGGGGCCAAACTCGCCCCCCCCCCCCGTCGGGGCCAGAATCCTCGTGAGGGTCGTCGTTTTTTGGCCCTCCCAGGAGTCGAAAAAAGAGCCCTCCAACGACCCGCGGGGCACCCTCTCCAGGTCCAGGGGGAGGGGGTAGGGGGAGGGGTAAACCCTTCCCCGAAAGGGAAGAAGGGGGGTTGAGGACAGAGCGGGCTCCCTAAACCACTCACGCCCAAAGGGCTGGTGGGACTTGTAGGCCGTCTGAGCATGCCATTGACTACTCTGTCATCTCCAGGCAGTTTCGCGAAGCACGTGCCGAGGTGCTATCGGACTGGGAGTTCGGGCCGCACAGGCCTGTGGAGCTCATCATTGACGGCTCGCAGATCGATGACTGGGTGCAGGTCATGCGCGCGGCCAAGGCGTTCCCTTGTCCCTTTCCGCCAGGCTGCAGCACGCGCGACTTCATGGATGAGTGGAGAGCGATTCAGGACCCAGCAGGCGAAGCCAGCGAGTCCTGGAAACAGTTCATCGGCGTCACCGAACAATATCTCTGCGACCTGGCGGGGCTCGACATTGGTAAATATGGCGGTCGTGGAGATGGACCGAAGCTCTGTTGGACCAAGGCTTGCCCACCGTCAGCCCCCCGCATTCCGAAGGTGAGTAACGCTTCGAGATGGCTGAAAGGGGCGGCCCTGGCAGCAGCGGACGCTGCGAGGAGCGACCCGATCAGGCAGGCACGTGGGCACCGAGCTTTGGATCGACGGCAGCGCGGCGCCCCTGGAGACCTATGGTGCAAGGTCGTGGCGATGCCGTGTAGGGCGCGTGAGTGCATGCGTCCTGTTGGGGATATGTGCCTGGCAGCAGTCACCAAGCAGCTTGCTGGCGACGCCGTCGCGCGGGACGTGAAGGAGTCTAAAGCAATGTTCGGGGACTGGATTGATGCCCGGGCTGTCGTCGGAGGTGCAGCGCTACATGCGTTCACGAGGGTGGTCACCGTCAATGCCTCTGCGACTAGCAAAGGTGGCGCCCCACTCGGCAAGATGGGCGCTGTCAAGGCGCCTGTGGCCGAATGGGCGGCGCATTGGCGGGCATCCGCGCCGCCACCTGACCTCCGATGGCCTCGTGATCTCGGCGTGAGGCCCGAGAAGCCGACAGTCGAGCAGCTGCGACGGGTATTTACCACGTTCAGAGTCGGAGGTGGGAAGAGCTTCGACAATTTCAGCCCGCGGGACTTCGGCGTGCTGGACGACGGTGGAGTTGACGCCCTGGCAGGTCTGATTGCGCTGATTGAGGAACGCACGACCTGGCCAGAGTTTGCGAACAAGCTTGCGTTCATACCAAAGCGTGAAGGTGGAGTTCGTCCGATTGCCTTGCTCGCTGCCCTGGTGCGAGTGCACGGACGCCTGCGGAGGCCCCTGGCCACTGCTTGGGAGGCGCAGCACGATCGTTCATATTGGCGGGCGTCAGCAGGCAAGAGCTGCGACAGAGCAGTCTGGCAACAACTCGCATTGAGCGAATGGGTGGCCACGAAGTGCGATGCGGATCCCAGTGCAGATTGGGCCACCGCCACGCTGTTGCTGGACCTGTGGAAGGCATTTGAGCAGACTCGTCATGACACTTGGCTTCGTCTGGCTCAGAAGTTCTCTTTCCCGTTTTGGCTGCTCAAGTTACAAATTGGCATTTACACCAAAGCTCGAGCATTGGTTCTCGATGGTGCAGTCTCAGATTTGATTTGGGTACGCCAGACGGTTCTGGCAGGTGACTCTTTCGCCGCGACCTTTATGAAGCTGCAGCTCATGGGGTCGGTCGATCGCACGCAGGCGCTGTGCCCCGCAATCGCGCCAGCCATCGTGGTGGGCGATCTGGTTTTGCAAAGGCACGGCGGCGAGAAGCGAGTCGGAAGGGGCACCGCCTTCGCCGCGCAGGTGCTCGTCAACAGCCTGGCCACGGACAGCACCAGCATCTCGGCCAGGAAGTCTCAGGCGTTGGCATCGGCTCCAGCGCTGGAGAAAGAGCTGGAGGCCAAGCTGCACAAGGTCACTGGCGCTCAGGCGGTGAAGCATGCCAGGAACCACGGCACAGACTTCGTTCAAGGCCGCGTGCTGGGCCGAGCTGTGCGCAGAGCAAGGCTCCGAGCAGCGGGGCGTCGAGTGCCACGTGTGAGACGACTGCTGGCTTCAGGAGGGCGGCGAGGAATCGCCGCCAGGATCGCCAAGCAAGGCCTCGAGGCAGGTTACGCGTACAGTGTGAATTGCACGGGGCTCAGCGATCGAGATCTTCAGACTGCTCGCTCTTTGGCCTTTCGGGCCACTGAGGCTCGAATCGACGGGGAGAGTCGCACGCTCAGCCTCATGTTGTCAACTGTGCGTGAGCTCGACCCCATCTTTCGAGCCGCAATCGATCCCGTTTGCACGGTGCATCGAGCTGTCTGGGAGTCGTGGATGCCGTTGTCCGTTCTGACCTCAGTGGTGCGCTGGACTTCGGAGCATGTAACGACCTGGGATCAAGTTCGGGGCCCCATCAGCGCGGCCTTCCTGTCCCTCCTGCGCGTCGGATGGGCCGTGGCCAGCATCGCGACGTGGATCAACTCCTCGAGCGGGGCAGTCTATAAGCCACTGGATTTCTCGCCATGGTATACCAAGCAGCTGGTGAAGAAAGCGGCGCTGCGGTGGCAGTTTCACAAGGTTGCGGACGAGGTGCCGCGCCTAGCAATGGATTCAACATCGCGCAGATTCGAAGGTGGATTCTACGTGGGCGGCCGACGGCACCACGCGGGAGAGACAGGCTTTCGCTGGGTGCGGATGAGCGACGGTACGCCAGGTCGCTGGTGGCGAACAGGCAGTGGGTCAACCATCGGAGGTACCACAACAACCCACGGTATGCTCGCAAAAGCGACTGCGCGTTGCGCCCTGGGAAAGGTCGGCAGCCTGCGGCATAGGCATTTCGAATGTGCACATCACTGGCCGCAACCGCAGCTGCCAGCAGCTATTGAGATGCCCAAGCGGCAGGCCGATCACCCGAACATCATCGCGCTCGTCGAGAGGCTGCTGATGGTCAGGCCCAAGGTGGTATGGCAAGCGCCCCAGGACGAGCTGATGTCAGGTGTGCGCTGGCTACTTGGCAACGGTGGCGAGCCCTTCCACGACGCCGAGCTTTCCACGTACGGGCCGGCGTTCGACCGCGACACGGACTACGGCGCGGCAGGATGCGCAGTGGTGCAGATCCCTAGCGGGCCAGGGTGGTTCGACCCAGGCCCGAGGTGTGCGCTGAGGGCGCTGGGGTCTCCATTGATGGGGCCGCGCCAGTCCACCGAGGGAGCGGAGCTGCTGGCCATCCTGCTCCTGGTGCGGCACAGCCTGGCGCCGATCACCGTGCGAGTGGATGCCAGCTACGTCGTCGACGGGCTGATGTCGCGCGGGCGAGCAGGCACATGCGGGTCGTCTCACAGTTGGGCGCATCTATGGAGGCTGGTCTGGGACGCCATCGACGACTTCGGAGGTTTGTGCCCTGAGGGTCTGGCTGCGGTCAAAGTCAAAAGCCATGGGACCCTCGGAGATGTTGAAGCGGGCAGGCTCACGCGCTGGGGGCGCCGTGCAACCTCGAGGCAGACGACTGGGCCAAGCAGCTCACGCGTCCTTTCGCCTTGGGGACAGACGACAGGGACAAGCTTTGGCGCACCGACCTCATGGTGGACGGGGTGGTAGCGTGGGTCGCTCGTGCTGGTGCTCCCGCCGCTACTGCCCGTGATGACATCGATACGGAAGTGGTCATCAAGCAGCCGCCAACGATCCAGCTAATTCTCACCGCGCATGAGTTCGCGAAGACAGGTGGATGCTGGCGGCGCGCTTCGCGTGGGAGGTATGCGAGAACGAAGGAGTCTCAGCGCAAGCTCACGTACCTACCCTGCATCCCGAGGCCAGGTCGCCCAATGGTCGATGGAATTCCCTGCTCAGGGGCCAAGCGCCCTGCAGCGGCTGCAGAGCTTGCAGCAGCAGCAGCGGCTGCCGCCATGGCAGCTTCCCAGAGCAGTGCAGAAGGCCGAGACGACGGGGATGGAGATCAGCACCAGACTGGGCCGCCCTTGTCGTGTGCAGATGCGGGCGAAGCGGCAGAGAGGGCGTCGCCTCCCGCGGATGCTCTTGGCCACGATATACATATTGTCAGTGGGCTTCGTGTATGCATGAAGTGTTGCTTTTTTGTTCGTGAACGTGACGGACTGCTGCGTCAGCTTGGGAAGGAGTGCCCAGGTCATCCCATGAAGGGCGACAATGCAGAACGCGTTCGTCGACAGAGACGTGATTTGATTCTTCAGGGGCTGGACCCTAAGTCGAGGCAGCGTTTGCCCGAGTGAGTGATGGCTGCGGCATGCTTTTGGTGCTCGCTTCGTTTTTTTGTTGGTGCCCCTGGGGGACTCTGAAGGTTCGCTGAAAGGTGCCCGCGGCAGAAGCTCCTTGGCTGCCCTTGTTGCGGGTTCGCGCGCCTCGCGGTCTTGCGTGTGCGTGCTCTTTTGCGTGCGGGCCCTGGCGTGGCGGCCTCCTGTGCTGCGGTCATGCTGGGATCGCGCCGACTTAACTGGACGCTTCGCATGGCAGGCGTGTGGGTCCTCTCTCATTGCATATGCACGCTTCGCGTGTCTTGGCAGTGTGATGCACGTCGGCGATGGTCCTCCTAAGTGGGTGTCGTTGCTCCCGTGACATAGCACACGCTTCGCGTGGTCTAACTTGGACCGTGCCTTGCGCTTCGCGCGACGCTCGCCCGAAGGGTGGAGCTCCGCCGTGCCTTTGCTGTCGCGTGGACTGTGGGGTCCTGCCGTAGCCTTGCATGGTTGATTGGGCCGAGGGGCTCGGTTGTGGCGGCCCTGGTGGCTGTCGTGTGTACAGCTTGGCTGTGCACACCTGCACAATAAAAAAAAAACGCACACACGCACACACGCACACACACGCACACACGCACACACGCACACACGCACAAACGCAAACACGCACACACGCACACACGCACACACGCACCCACGCACACCAACACACACCCACACACACCCACACACACACACACACCCACACACACACACACCCACACACACCCACACACACCCACACACACCCACACACACACCCACACACACCCACACACACCCACACACACCCACACACACACAGACATAGATATAGAGATGCGTGTCTTAAACGCGGGGTGGGGGTGGCGTTCGCCTGCCCTCCAGAATTTGTGACTCTATAAATTTCCCGTGCTGTCTCCCTCTTGGCCTCGGGTGGGGGAATCGGTTGCGTGATGGTCTTCCGCATTGTCTCTCTCGTGTGGTCTCTGGTCTGGTCTCCGTCATGGTCTCCGGTGTGGTCTCCGGTATGGTCTCTTGGCATGGCCTCGCATGTGGCCTGCCCCACGGTCTCTCGTAGGGTCTCTCGCAACGTGTCCCGTGCAATCTCCGGCATGCTTCCCCGTCTGGTTTTGTTTCCGTATGGTCTCCCACGGTCTCCCGTCTGCTCTCCCGTGGTGTCTTCCGAACGATCTCCCGTATGGCCTCGTGTATGGTCGTGAATGATCTCCCGTACAGCGCAGTCTCATGCTCTCTGCGCTATTGAATTCTGCGGTTTCGGGCATTCTGCCGCCTGGGCGTAATGCGCGTGATCTTTCGGGCTTCCAACGCAGCCAGAGATGGCCCCAGAGGGCTCCAGTATAGCTCCAAGGCGGCCCAAGAGATCCCCACGGTGGCCTCTGAAAGCGTCGGATGGGCCAAGGGAGCCTTAAGATGGTCCAGCATGCCCCCCAAAGGCCCCAGATGCCCTCAAGAGGCCCTCGGAAAACCTGAGGCCCCCCAGAGGCCTGCAAAAACACCCCAGGACCCCCTCAGAGGCCACAAGGGGGCCAGGAGGTTCTCCAGAAGCTTCCTCCCGCTCCTCGTCCTGTGTTCTTCCAAAGACTCCCACAGAGAAAAGGGACAGACATAGTCCGATAGCACGGCCAAGCTGTGGCCCAACGTTCGGCCACACGTGCGGCGGCAGAAGGCAATGGGCAGCGGTGGTTCGCCGTAGCCGTCTTATACATAGATCTACATCATACAGACATACACCCTAGGTGATGCTTAAGAAAACTGAAGTTTTCGGCCAGAGCCCCGATTATTCTTAATGTTTCAATGTAAATCCTAAGATTTCAATCGAAATTCTGGGTTTGTAATCAAATTCTGAGACTATGAATTTCTTAACCGATGATTCCTTAAGCATTTCGCAGGGTGCACCCTCACTATCTGATACAGAAGCATGCTGGTATACAACCGATTGCCCCTACTTATGTGTAATGGGCCTATGCTTCGTAAAGCTGGGGGCGGTGTTCATCGGTGATTCGATGGTCTCCCAAACAGTCTCCCGCATGCGTGCCCGAATGGTCTGCTGCATGTTTTCCCGCATGCTCCCCTGCACGGTACTCGTATGGTCCTCCCGTATGGCCTCACACGTAATACTCTGCGAAACCAGCCCTTGGGCACCGCGCCACGATGCTGCCGCGGGCACCGCGTTCTCTGCTGTTTGTCATTTTTCTATGTTCTTCTACACGACGGTGATGGATGACCCGGACCCGATGCTGCGGGCACCGCGTGAGGCGGGCCCCACCGCCGCTCCCACCCCACACACGAGGCCGCCCAGAGAAGACGACTTATAACAAATCCGCCGACCGTGTCGGTGTGTCTGGGAGGCTTTTCCGTTTGAGTCGTCGTCGTCCTCGTCGTCGTCGTCGTCGTCGTCGTTGTCGCCGCCACCGCTCCCCCCTGTCCCTGTCCGTGGGCCCTCCCTGCCAAACGTCCTAGCCGAAAAGAAACCGAGCAACGTCGTCATCGACCCCTTCCCCGCTGGAGCGACGGGGGGGTCCTGGGGGGGTAGAGGTGGGGGGGGCTCCCGGGAGTTGCCACCCCCCCAGGAGAGCATCCCTCCCTGGGAGGAAAGCTTTCCCTTGCGATTCCTTGCCTCCCACACGCCTCGGGCTCCCCCTTGAGGGTCGGCGACACCTGCCGCAAGCCCTTCACAATCTCATGTGAAGCTGCGGCGGGGCTGGGACCCACCAGCAGCCCTCGAAAGTGGCGACAATTTCGCAGCTTGTACCCACCATTGGGTGGCGAAGTCTCATCTGAATCTGCGGCGGGGCGTCACCCGGTGGGCCCCCCAACTGGCATGCAAAAAGGGCGACAACTTCGCCATTCGCACCACCCCAGAGGATGGCAGTGTCTAGTCGGAATCAGCTGCGGGGCGTCACCCCGCTGACACCCCCAAGAACCCTCGAAACCGGCGACAATTTCGCAGCTCGTAGATCCCAAGGACGGCAAAATCAAATCGGAATCTGCGGCGGGGCGTCATTCCGCTGGACCCCCCACATGGCCCTCGAAGGTGGCGACAACATCGCTGTACATATAGCCCCTTCCCCAATGGCGAATGGCGGGTCTAGTCTAAATCTGCGCCGGGGCGTACTCCGCTGGACCTTCCAGCAGCCGCAGAAAGCGGCGACGGCTTCGCAGTTTCCCAGCCCCCCCCCCAGGGACGGCGATGTCAAATATCGGGATCCGCGGCGGGGCGTCACCCCGCTGGGCCCCTGGCAGCCCTCGAGCGTGACCGCAGTCTTTGCAGTCCGTAGCCCCCGAAGGCGTTCGCAGCACCCCCCCAGGGATGGCGAGCCGGGAAGCAACCTCGCAGGCAAGTGAGAAGGCAGAACGGGACGACAGGAGGAGGAGGGAGGCGGGAGGAAGACCTGGAGACCGCCTGGTTCTATCCACAGTGAGAACCCAAAGCTGTGAGGTTGGAACATAGTCGCTGACCGTACGGCAATCAAAATTAGTGCAGAGCGTAATCTTAGGAATAACATAGGTGCGACCGGTGATTCGGTGATAAACGAATCGTGAATGAGATTGCGGGAGTTGTCAACCCTGCAACTCATTCTCTTGTTAATCATAGTGAGACCCTCGCCAGCCAAAACCACGAGCGACACCATGCGGGATATCATGCAGGAAACCATGCGGGACAGATTCGGGGCATAACTTTCGCGCGGGAGATCACGCGGGGGAATGCGGGAGGGCAGCCCGGAATACATGCGGGGAAACGAGCGGGAGAACGATGCGGAAGACGATGCGGGATGCCATGCGACGGGCTCTACGGCATGCCACGCGGGAGGGACTGCGGAAAGGGACCGCCAAAAGAACCCCCAGACGCCCCAA